GTGAGTGCGAGAGGCGCAGCATATTTACTTTGCGTTCGCCTGTATTTACATAAAAATTATGCTGATTATGAGATTGGCCTTTCACGGCTTTTGGGCGGCTCCCTGATGGAGCGTGCGTGACTCATGCTGCGACTGATATTTGACTGGAATGACAACGAAATACACATGTCTGGGCTTAGTGCTCCTCTGAGATCTGTTTATGTCAGGGCCTAATGGATGGGCGCAGTTTGAAGGTTGTCCGCAACTTTGACACCCAAAACATGTGTCGTTTAATTTTCAACTCAATTAGCTAATTCCAAATGATACTATAGTTGGACCAGCAGAGCTGGCCTCGAAAAATATATTTGCATTTTCATTTAATGTATTTGCGTTGCTTATTTTAATTGCTTTTAAAATTATTCTTAATTTTAGAACTTTTTCTCATAGCTTGATAGTTCTAAAAATCTGCCTAATTAGCTATTATTTCTGTTAGTTTTTCCTTTACTTTATTTTGTCCGCTTGCACTTAGTTTTCTTGGCCTAAAGAACATTGTCTGGAGAAATGACGGATTTGTTGCTTAAGTGAAAATCTTATGTTTATGTGAAAAAATGCAATCGCACAACACTAATTTTATAATTAATCTTTATTCATTCATTCTTCACATTTGATGTAGTTTTCAATGTTAATATTTTTGGTGAAGCTTCTGACAAATGTGTGTCTGCTACAATGATTCCAGTTTTTTACAGTTACAGTTTATTTGCCCAACATTTTGTCTGCATCTATTATTTTTAGTGAAGAACTCTCATTCCGCATATCTTAGGAGCAACTCCCCACATTCTGACAGATTTTTAAAGTTTCACTAATTATGTATGCATTTGTATATGCGATATCAAGTAGTCAAGCCGCGTGTCTGCGTGCACTTAAGTGAAGCCTACTTCAGGGCGCAAAATTAGCGCACGCACTAAAAAGGCTACAAGCGCATTGCTCATACGCCATGCGTTGCCCACAGTCGGCCACATAAAGGCTTAAAGAATTATTTACTAGGCCCCAAAATACAACCCATTTGTAGCTGCAATAAATCTAAACGAAAACTACATAAATTAGAAATTTTTATTTATATGTTCATTTGCCGTTTCTAATGCTCGTCACGTACCGCTTTATAACCGCAACTAGGCGAACCTTTTGCTGATTACGACGTGCACATCGACTGGCCCATCCTCTCCTCTTCCCAGTCGATCCCTCTGTATCCAGCTATGTATTTCTGTGTGTGTGTGTGTGTGTGTTTGTGAAAGTGCCTGTTTATATACTCACTCAGAGCAATGTGCAACAAATTATTTTAAATTATTTTAAATTATTTTTTAATAATTGAATGAAATAAATGAAAATTTATTTTGTACGAGCACAGCATTGGGGTTCCGTTTGCAAAGGCCACCTTATGACTTCTCCGCCCTACTCAAATCTACTCTTTGTTCATTATCCGCGCATGCGTTATAAGCCTTGGATGAGTGGCTCGGTGAATGCGATGCGACAAACTGCGATAGGCACGTGCCTTTGTTTACACAAAATAATGAAATTTCAACAGCAAGAAGCGTCACAATTCCGCTTTGGGTGGCTAAGTGCGTGACAAACTGGGAACAGAAATTGAGCGCAAAAATTCCTTAAATTGTGTGGCAATAGTGCAACCAGTAAACAGATAATCAGTGGCAGATAGTCACACCCCAATGTGGCCTTTTTAACCCTTTTTGCTAAAAGGAATCCCACGAACTACTTGTAAACTATTTAGAGCACAAGCTTTTGTACTTTTTGACGTGTTTCATAGCTTGACACAATATCCTTTAAAAGTCCAGGTTATATTCACAAACACCTGTTTTGAGAAGCCATCCTTAAGTGTAGGTTAACGGGACTGTAATATTTGACCCCATTGAAATTTTATTTTCAAACATATTTTTGTCAGTTATAAATGGGAAAATACGTGGAAATGTTTTGTATTTGCTGCCACTGTATAAAAATTACAGCCTTGGCCATTTGCAACCCACTCACCTACCATTGCCTTCTTCACTTAGCTTTCATAAGAGTTTATTTCGCTACGTGGCCACATAAATTATATGCATTTATTTTGAGCATATTTTTTGCTTGCCTTGACAGCAGCGAATGCAAAACCCAAAATGCCACGAAGCCGTAAACGACAAAGCAACTGCAGCTTCAACAAAAACAAAAAAATGCAGCACGCCAACGAGATGGCTGAAAAGGCAAATAAAGCGTCGAATACTGCAAGGTCGTCGTCAGCAATAGTTGGGGTAATATTAAAGTATCTTCAATTCAAACTTCAAACTTTAACTTTCAAATTATATATTCATTCCATAATTAAATGGAATTTCTAAACAACATTTGAACAAGAATACTTATAATCCACACATAGTCGAAGTTTTCGACAAAACATAACATACTTTAAATGCCAATTTACATAAATATTTATGCTGATGGCGCCCAAATTGCTGGAGTCCTCGTGCCATTTGCGTTAATGTGCCTTAATCTTTAATGAGCCAACTTTCGCGATACGCGGTACGCGATTCGGGTTTCCGTTTTTCGATTTTTGCCACTCGGTGGCGTACGTGTGGCAAACTGGCGCTGACTCGTGCGTCTTGCTTGGCATTGTAAACTACTTTGCTGCCTATTGGCTTGCAATTAATCCGGGCCAAGATTCATCAGTGAAGATCTAATTATAAAGATAAACTATATGCATAGATAAGTATATAAAAGTACAGGAGGAGTTTTCAATCGACATTCGAAGCATTCGAGGAATGTGAATACAACAGCTGCTATAAAATGGAAACCACGTGCGTACGGCACGGAATACTGAGCACGAGAAATGCTTTGTTTGTAAAATGTAAAGGCTGATTCGAAAGCTGACTCAAAAGCAGAACCATACCATGCCATTCAGATCCACCTTTAAATGACAGTTTAAGACTTCCAATGACTTTGCAATGAAAATGTTCTGAGCTACTTACTTTAATTGCTCAACATTTTTCAGTCATACCACTGTCTTTAGAAGCAGCAACTTATCCGAGCTTAATCGCCTGATTTAGAAGTTTATTCGCTTCCTCTCTCGTCGGCAAAGGAAATGGAGCCGGACACGAAGGTATGTGCACTCTTCTGTGCCACTTTATTGTCATGCTACCTATTTGCGACCCGACAGCAATATTAATGGACTTCCGTACGAAATGAGCTACAGGCCCAAAGAGCTGAAATTGCGATTTGTTTAATTTGCACGCACTAAAAATTTAAACTACGACCTCTTGCAAATGTACGAGTACACTGCATCATGGACCGAGTTCCGTCATAAATATTAAACTAATTTTAACAACAGCAACGAAATCCATGTCCATGTTGTATTGTCCTTGACCGGAGCCACCAGCATGAATGAGTAATTTGAAGGCATAGCGCTTATTCTCATTAGGCTTACGGCAACGCCTATAATTAGATTTAAACGCAGATTTCGCACAATTTATGCTGTTGGCACAGCATTTTAATGGCTGCTTATTGAAACCGCAAGAAGAGATGAGTACGAATATGTGAATGAAACTGATTTGTGGATTTCGCGTCGTCAGTGTAGCATAAAAAAATTTTGCATAAAACGTTTGTATAAAAATGCCAGCGACAGCTGCCATTAGCCGAGCCTTTTTGCAAAACCGTAATTTATAACGAAATATTCTCAATGTGTTCTTTCGCAGACAAATTAAAGACAAGTCTGCAATTCTTCAAAATAAAAATAAAATTGCTTTTTTTTAATACTTTGTGAACAACAAATTGCTTACTCAAATAATAAGCACTAACACTTGTAAGAAAATAAGATCCAACATAATGGCATCAATAACTGTTGAGAACAAGAAGGAAAAATAGTAAAAACAGACGGATCAGAGCACAACCTGCGAAACTTCTCAAAATGTCAGTTGGCAACAGAATTAAAGTGCTTGTCTCGCCCCATAAGCACATTGTCAGTGTCTACAAGCCATGCTGACTGAAATGTTGATAACGCTGCCGCCATGGACGACCAATCCGCCATTGTGCCCCTCTTGTGCCCGTCTGCGCGCGTTTTGTCAGACTAACACACGGGGCGTATGATTGTTTTTCTGTGTCAACAAAACATTCCACAATAATGGAGTCCCTTTCTGTGCACCCCGCTAGCAAGCCGAGTTTTCACGACTGTGCGTGTCCTTATGCGTGTGTTTCTTAATGGCTCTAGAGCGATTACACGACATCAAGCAAGTGTTGCAGGTTGCATGGCCCTCAAGCCGCAAGTTGAGTGCTCGCATTATGACTTATTTTGTAAAAGGCTTAACTGCAATATTTATATCTATTCACATACGTGTACATGTCGGTGGAGGGTGCACACATAAAGAATTAAGAAACCATTTACTTACTCGACGATTTATTTCAGCTTAAACTTTCTGTTTTATATGATTATAGCATTCATTTTTAAAGATCCTTTAAATGGCTATGAACAGCAAGGCGCTACTCAAACAAAATCAAACAAAACCATGCCAGCCCCGGTATTTTAGAACCCCACTGCTTAAGTTGAGGCCTGCCCAGTTCCATATTCCATGCTTAATTTGCTTGATTATTAAGAGGATTTCATGAGATCTGAATTTAAATTACTTTGTGGCAAAAAAAAAGTGCATCTGATTAACAAATATTTCTTTTTAAGAAGTTTCAGACCAATACGAGAGTATTCGTACGGACCTCGGACCATCGTCTAATACCTATTGTAACTGACTCTGCACGAAACTTTTCTACCTTTTGACATTCAGCTTTCGAAAAATCAGAACTTAACTTTGCTTAAGTTAATTAAAGATTACGAATACATCTTCTGTGTCGTATAGCTCGTGTAATTTAGACTCATGTGCTATTTTCGGATTGAAAAATCCTTCATATTAATGTACCTAATTTATTTTATCTAGTACTGAAACAAACTTAAACACCACCCCCAACTCATGCATAAAGTTCAAAACTGTACCTTCGCATCACTTTTCACTTCCTTAATTTTAATCACTAATCTCACTAATCTCTCTCTAAATACTACATTACAATATTACAACCATTACGCAAATTTGCTATTTTTCCGCAGGCATATAACCAAAGTGAGTGCGCAGAAACTCCAGGGTAAGAAACAAAATGACCGTGTGAGGACCCAGCCGCGTAAAGGCCGGAATCGAACCTTTAAAGAAGGCCATAGGCCCTTCCTTGGCGGTTTTTATGAAAATATCACCCAAGCCAGAATACTCGCCGGGTCGTGCACTCATGCGACGGGTCTTTACGACGTCGAAAGGCTGCGTTATCATCGTAGCCGTCACCGCGGACACCACCGATGCAAATATGAACGTGTTCATGTTCTTTTTGAAACCAAAGTTCTCGATAAGTACATCTTTAGTCTGCTCATAAAAGGCGATTTGGCCAACGGTCATCAGCATGCCACGCAAGGCCGCTACACCGGCTCCATTGAAAAGATGCCTTGGTCCTTCCTCGCGGCATACACGCACTAGGCCATCGATGGCATGCTTGTAGCTGAGCACAGAAGGGTGAATTAAGAGGTCAGCGTAATACCTGCAATAAGGTGGGGAACCTACTTGCGTCTCTTATCCGCCGGCAACTTAACATCGTTCTGCATACGCACATTCAACATATCACCCGGGGCCCCAACGAGGCCGCCAATAAAACCTGCCACAGACGACAGTGCCACTTTCCTTGACATGCTGCTCGTGTCCATTACCTGCTGGCCGAATGCGTAGATGCCAAAGCGAGTCAATGTGTAGGTGTATTGGCGCAACAAGGACGCTGAGATGCCATTATAAAGTGTTAGTACACCGTCCTCTTTTATTATCTTCCGTGTCATGCCTACCACAGAAATCTGTTCCTTATTTGTCTGAATTAACACTTTCAATAGGTCAAGTGGATGGGTTACACATACGCCTATGGAGCTTGCCACGCCACCGAAGTACCAACGGGCAATTCGTTTTTGGTTATCGACCATTTTTCCAAAAATTGCCTAGCTCTAAACCTTAAGTGAAGTTTCGAAAAAACGACACCTATAATTTTTACAAATCAATAAACAAAACCCGCGCATAAACATCAAACAGTATAGTATTATCGAAAAGAACAGAAGAAATTTGTTTTTTAAATAATTGTGTGAAATAAAGCAATAAACAAAAACAAAAAGTGACATTCCTATAAACCTACTGTATTAGATTTATATTTTCTGTTGATGTATGTAAAGCACCCCATCCACAGGTGAGCAGAAGAATGGTAGACCGCATTAGGATGCGGTATATACTCGTACATACTATTTGGTTAGGCAGCCGTGACCGCCAAAATGCAGCAAATCATCATAAATATATTGGTTTAATTGGATTATAAATAATAAATAATAATATGTTGAGCCCTTTAACATAATCTCAATTCATTGTTTGCTTTGTGGTTCAAATTCATATTCCTTTTTATGCATTATTCTTAATTTTCTATAATTTTGCTTTAGCTGCTACACTGCTGCAGCGACTGAATCGTTTGTTAACCAAGAGTCAAATCGAATCGTTCGCCATCGCTTGTGTAAGTACGGTAAGACATAGCTGCCGTCTACTCGACCAATTACTATATATCATTGCATTTCTGCAATTGTTACATAATTAATTAACTAATTAATTTTAAATAAAACGCATTTTAAATTGAACAATTTCAGGTTTGTTAATTATTTCTTGCTTATTATTAGCTACATAATCAGCATGATAATAAGAATCCATATAGCTATGTTCTTTTGTCTGTCCGTCTAATAACTTCTTCCCTCACAATTAGGATCTACCACGTTTAAGCTCTCCACCGAAACTTCTCTCCTTTTATTTTCTTCTGATATGCGTGCTTATAACAACGATGAAAAGTTGTGAAGAAAATCTTTTGCGTACAGGATATTTCGAGCGAGTCTCCAACATTGTTACAATGCAAAGTTATAGCATCGTGTTTTTTTTTACGATTTTTACGATTCCAAAACAACAGAAGCATTCTGTCAATCTCCAAATAAACGCAAATCGAAATGAAACCAATCTGCAAAGAAAACCATTCTGGTATCTAAGTAAACACAAAACAAATAGTTCTTTAATTTTAATTCAATATATTAGAAAAAAAACTGCAGTATTTATCAACATTATTACAGGTTGCTCGAATGTTGTTACTAGTTTTCATTTGTGTTTTTAAGTCTTCAACATTGGAATTTAAATATATTAAGCAAATGTTCTCGAATTAAGTGTTACAATTTCGGTTGGTTTAGTACGTAGCAAGATTTTCGTTCGCCAGAGCCTTCAAAGCCGATAAGGAACGGTAACATTTATTTAGACTGCTATTTCACCCCCCTTCCAAAGTAAAGCGAAGCATAGTAGTCCACCAGCGGCATAGAAAAAATGTAGAATGTCATGGCGCTCCATTTCGTGCATCATACCGACGAGAAAGAAAAATAGGATCAGTATTGAAATTATGAATACATTGAACGCAGCCAAAGCGCAAATGGTCCTTAAAATCGAATATTTGAATTTATTCTTTTGTCCCTGGTTGGCCTTTTCGTTGCCATTTTCAATTAAATTCGCTTCACCTACTTCGCAAGCCATCAACAGCTCTTTCGAATACAGTGTCATGGCTTCTTTATTAGATGTCCGAACTTTTTTATTTTAGAGTGAAAACTATATGGCATCTATATCACAGCCCCTCATGTATTGAAAATATGATAAGAGATATTGGAACTTCACGGCCGGGCTTGCTCGATTGTAATCAGCAGTATATTCTTGTTCACATATCTATACAAGTACATGTACGGAAGCAAAGGAAAGTTATTCTCTAGTGTATTTTGATATGAAGGAACATTCTGCAAGCCCCAAAAATGAACCAGAATAAAAATATGTAGGAAAAATAATGAGTGTTCGGGAAAATAATGAGAACGAAAACCCTTTTAAGACTTCATGTTACAGCTAATTATACTTTATTAAGCAAACATTCTTCAATGAAATGTCAATGAGTTACATCAAATTGCGATCGATAGTACCTTCGAAGATGATGAAGAAAGGTGATATTTGTTTTAGCCCACTATTTCGCCCACTTTCCACAGTAAGGCGATGCTTAGTAGTCCACCAGCGCTATACAGGGAATGTAGAATGTCTGGTCGGTCCATTTCATGCAGCACATCGATGAGCTTGAAAAACAGACCCAGTATTGAGAATAATAATACATTGAAGGCAGCCAAAACGCAAACGGTTTTTAAAGTCGAACGTTTGGGTTTTTTCTTGTCACTGTCCTTGCATTCATGGTTCATGGGTTCTTCATTGGCACTTTCGTTCAAATGTGGCTCAACTCCTTCCAACTCCGCCACGTCATCCATTTCTGGCACTATTGAAGTCATCCGTGTTTAATTGAACGTGCGAACAATTTTATTTTAGAGTTCGAAATGTATGACATCTATTTCGAGTGCCTGTTGATTTGAAAAATTCCATTCAAATATTCGTGTGCGTTTCATGCAACGTTCCCTAATAGCCGTTTACTTGTTAAATCAGTTTACACCTGATTGCCCAGAACTGTGGTCACAACCATTGCAGAAACAAAACGACAACAAACCACACGCAAACAACATTAATCACGCAACTTTTTTACGAGTATGCTAATGATTTGTTGTACATTATTTGATTGCCCGCTGAGAGCAAATGCGTAAAATGTCACGTCGCTTTCACAACAAATACGATTATACATACTCGTATAAATAAAACCAGAACCATTGCTAACAAAAGTGCGCGACTTTAATTTGTCATTTGATCCTGACATTTGAAATGAGTAGCGACCACCCGGAAACGCAGAGTGCGCATTAAATGTATGAGATATCCTTATTTCGAGTGGCCAAAAGGGTCCAGTGGATTGTTGGGAATGAGTTTTTAAAGACATATCCATTTGTCTGTTCATTGTTCTGCCCCAAACTGAACTATGTTCCAGAGCTTGGTGATAATATTCAATTAACATTCAGGTCTGCCTATTCAATTCAAGTCTATTCAATTGAATAACAAACTAGAAACACGTTTTCTTCACTACAACAATGGCAATGGGTTAATTAGAGCTATATATAGCGAATACTCGATGCTCTGTTTAAGATCAGCCGAAATGCTTGCTCTTTTATTGGACACTCCATTTCGATTTTATAACAAGAGAGAACGCTACAGTCGAGCAAGCCCGACAGTGTAATACCCTGTACCCAGGTAAACTTCCGTCACTGAGTTATATGCGCCCATAGCAGCAGCAAAAAGAGGAAGAAGAAGAGCGAACTTGTTGCTGCAGTTTTTAGGGGTTGTACTGGCGAGAATTTGTTTCGCTAATAACTTTTCTTAGAATTGACCGAATTGAAAATTTTAAACAACAGTAGACAATTATATATAAATTATGTGTGCAGAGTTTGGTTTAGGTAGCATTTGAAATGTGGACGCTATTGGCGAAATTCTGTAGCGGGGGAAGGGGGGAAAAATTCCAAAAAGTAAAATAAACTCGTCCTTTCTCGGACCTAGGAGAATCTGGTTGCCAACGTTGGTTATTCTAGCTTTTATAGTTTCTGAGATCCTCGCGTTCATCCAGACGGACAGACGGACGGACGGACGGACATGTCTAGATCGATTTCTCTCGTCATGCTGATTCAGAATATATATACTTTATGGGGTCGGAGATGCTTCCTTCTGCATGTTACATACTTTGCACAAACCTAATATACCCTTTTTACCCTACGGGTACAGGGTATAAAAACACATTCTTTTAAAAGCCTTCTTTATTCGCATATGCATCTATATTGAATGCATTAAAATTCTAACAAAGGGTATACGCAACGTGTAAAAACAATAATGAGCATATTGCTAGCATCACATAAAGGATAACAAACTCTTAAACGCAGCATCATCAATTACTGATATATGGTACTTTGAATATTTAAAACTAGGGTATGTCGTGTGTGGTACTTTTGAACACTTCTTTGATTTGTAGCGGTCTATTCCTTGAGCTCCGCAGCTGCGTTAACAAAGCCCGATGTCTGTGTCAGCTGCAGTTGCCTTTCTTCCGCCTCCAAAGCCTTTTGTTCCGGTGATTTTGCCCATTCTTGCAACTCGCCCGAAGCGAAGAACCAATAAATGACACAACCAATGAGGTAAATTCCCGCAGAAATGAAGAACACTAGGCGCCATTCGGTACTTGTTTGCTCAGTCACAATGTAGCCAGTAAGTAGAGGACTGACAATACCAGGAATGGTAGCAAACGTGTTACCGATTCCCATCAAAACGCTGGCATGTTGTGGTGCAATATCCAAGTGGTTGACACTATCAAAAAACAGACATAAATGCACGCACTCGGCGAACCTATTAGTTTAAACTCACGCAAAGCCCGACCAGGCGAAGGCGCCCAAGCCCACGGCTATGGTAAGGCAAACCACCGACCAAGCGGGATCCAACAGATAGGCCGTCAATATCATGAATATTGTCTGTGACAAAAATGCACCGCAGTTGAAGTTGCGACGCACCTGTGTGGTCGTCCAGATTCCCTTAACCTGCAGCCAATCGGCCAGGTAGCCTGAGACGGCCAGCAGAATACCCATGGCAAGATAGGGCACAGCCGATAGAAAACCGGTCTTGCTCAAGTCGAAGTTTAAAGTATCTACGGCGGATATTTGCGTTAAGAACCAAAAAGCGTGAAGACAAAACTAGCCACTTACCTCTCAGGAAACTTGGCAGCTGTGTTAGTAGAGTATAGAAGCCCCAGTTTTCAGAGAAATGTGACGCCATGATGGCATAAAATGCCATCGATGTGAAAATCGCCTTCCAGGGATGCTTGATGTTTTTGGAACCCACATAACCAATTGTCTTCTGTATGTAATCGCACTCCTCCTTCGAGCAATGGCGGTCCAGCTCAGGTCCGGCGCGAATGAAAATAATCCACGTAATATACCAGATACAACCAATTGTTCCGAAAACATAAAATACGCTTTCCCATCCATACCGCGTAGCCAACATGCCGGACGCTGGCATGGCGACAACTGTTCCCGCATAGTTTCCGGCGAAGGCAATGGAAGCCATGCGCGAACGCTCCAAGGGCGGTGACCAGCGTGCCCAGACAGCATGAATTCCCGGGAATGTGACTCCCTCAAAGACGCCCTCAATTATGCGCACGGCTAAGAACATTTCGAGACTATGCTTGGCAGCTAGTGGTGTAAGCAGCGTAAGAATGGCTGTGGTGCCTATTCCTGTGCCAAAGACCTAACAAAAAATGCAAATTAGTTCCACTGTCCTTTCGACGTAGTCGTCTCATACTTACAATATTGCCGCCGATCTTAGTGCCGATGTAGCCACCCAGAAATTGAGTCAAAATGTACCCGTAGAAGAATGAGCTTAAGATCAAACCCTTCTGCTTAGAGTCCCAAGGGAAGTCCTGCGTCCACGATTCATTGCCGTCACTATCAATCACCGTACGATTCTCAGTCATGGCCACAATGGCCACAGAGAGATTCACACGCATCGAGTAAACATTGAAGAAGCCGAAGAATGCCATCAGCACGACAATATAACGTTGCTTCCGCCAAAATCTCCATGATAATGGTTCATTCTCAACTATATCATTACTGTCGAATGAAACAAAAAATAGGAAGAGTTAATATTGTAGGGAAATGAAGATAACATTAAATTTGATCCTAAGCGTTAATGTGTCCTCGAGTCAAGACTCATAAGTTTATGTTTTATTATGCTACATCATTAGTTTAATTAAAAAAGTGTATTTAAGTAAACTAACTAACCGAACTTAGCATTCCATGGTTGCGGGGAATATTTCTCATTAGAGAAACCATCAACGCTATCATGGAGCTTACATGGCGAGTGAAGCAGAGATCGATGCACCTAGTTTTAAATAAAGTAATAGTGGGATTGGACATTTGGAAGCACAAAAACAAATCAATCCAGCTTATGCGAGTGCCAGCTTGCCGCTCTTTGCAATTCGCAGCTATGCAAATGAGAGCTGTTGGCGCCACTTTCGCTTTCCTAAAACGAATTGCTGTACCGGCTCTAGCTACTTTACCATCTTAAATGCTTGTTAAGACTTGTTGTTGGCCGTCTGGGTCAAGCCCCGAAGCATTTTGCAAAACCTGTTTCGAAAGAGCTGCTGGTGTGGATATTTTTTTACCACAGGGCTTTGTACGGAATTTGTGCGTCTTACACAGCCACAACATTTGCTTTCGCATTTCTGAATAGTTTGCGGATTTTTACCCTCAAGCTTGTAGCTACTCGAAGACTAAGTGAGTCGAGTGGTGTTTTATTATAATGTTGTTAGGTGAGCCCCACCCCAACCAACAGTTCTAAATGATAGTTGCTTAAAACTACACATAAGTATAAGGAATGAACTTGTTTGCAGATTTGTCCCAAATTAAGACTAACTTAGTTTAAATATTAGCTTAAATGGTTACAGCACTTACTGGTGATGATGTGGGCTATTCAATTCCGCGTGATGGCCATTGTGTTTGCCTTTCTTGGAGTCCGAATCGGTCATTTTGGGTGATTTAGTGTTTGTTTGGAAGCTGGAGTAGTAGCAAGCGCAAAAACAGCCACAGAATACTCTTCAATCGTGCAGTTCGAACTAAAAATTAAACGAGCATGCCTGCAATAAAGTTAGATAAAAGCAAATAACAAATCAAATACATGTATCGTGTGAGGTGGCTCGCCACTGCGTGCAAATAGTTCATTAAAATCAAATTATATCGCAGAACGCAATTTGTTTTTACAGCAACAATACAATACGAGTAATAATAACAGCACACCCGCACAAAAGATACAGAAATAAGCAAGCAAACGCTCATTCATTCATTCATTCAGTCCCTGCCTCCCCTATCTTTAGCTTTTATTTCAAGTTCGGTGAAAAAAAAAACTCTCTCGGCAGACTAAACGTAAAATAAAATCAAATTGTACACCATTTTACGTGTCATAATTTTGTGTTTTGTTATTTATCTATTCGCACCGGTCGTTCTATTTATAAATTAAGTGAAGGCATTGCATGTGGCTGGGCTACGCAGGCGCCGCAATTGGCATTGGCATTGACATAGACATAGATATAGACGGAGGCATAGAGACCCCGCCAGTAATGGAGAATATTGCCATTAGCTATATTGTTGAGGCAAGTAATGAGGAAACGAAATATTTAAAAAAAGAACAACTCGCACGTTGTCACCGGTGTGCGTTGCTCTGCTATTCCTTTGCTCGGCGCATCTTAACTCAATTATCCATTTAACTTATTAAGCAAATAATTCGCAAATTGTGGCATTTGATGCACGCGACACACACAATCCGAAAGTCTAATAGAGAGAATGTTATAATCAAATAATTGTATGGTAAGTGAGCTGAACAGGGCCTCCAAAATGCTGGGCTGCCTACACGGCAACTACTGCTTTCTCTTGATTCGTTCTGATTTGCGAATTGCGCGAAATTCGACACTCAACACACACTTAAACACACGCATTGCTTAAATTATAACTAAAATAAAATAACATTAAACAAATTGCCCACATGTGTAGAAAATTTCTCGGCCCACAATACTTAGGATGTATGTACTACTGAAGCTGCGTATTTTTAGAAGGGTTATTAAATTAACGAGATCCGCAAAGAGACTATACGATGATATATGTACAAATGTATATTCGTATATAAAACAGGTGAAGGCTTGAAATTAGCGTTACATGCCTCTGACCCCCTCAGCTCCGCATTTACCCTGACTAATCGCTTCACATACGCTACTCTAACTTACAGAAACTATTCTCACATATAGTCTTACTACGAGTATATAGTATTTGTGATGCTTAATTGTGTTTGCATTCACACGAGTATAACTAAAGTGAAGGCGAAATTCCAACAGCTTCGAGGATTTATTGTTGGCTAATTAACGAATATAAAGCCATAAATGAAACATTATTTATGGATTTTTAATTTGTTATTAATTTTATTAAGATTGCCTTTCGGCTTATCAGCAAACTCAGCTACAGAGGCATGCGCAAATATGGTATTCGTGATGGCTTAACTTTCACTGCGTCAAATAAAAAGAGCACTTTATCTTATGAGCTATTATATTGTGAGCAATTCAAAATTTGCTCGTATACGCGCTTATCTAAAAACCAAAATTTCCTATACTCGTACTTGTATACCCACACCATTTGCTTTGCTTGATAAATCTCAACAAAAAGGTTGAGCAACTGAACGAGTGACATAATGTTGTAAATCTTCCACCGTATTCTGTTTTTGTTTAAATCATTCTGTGGAGTAAATTAAAAAATATCGTTGAACTTGAAATAGAGACGAACAGCATTTTTAAATACGTTCAAGCTTTTTTTAAGGTCTTTTAAGGTCTAATGCAACATCTAGAAGAGGAGCTACGAAATGAGCAGCTGTTTTCAAATGTCAGAGAATATCGGCATATAGAGAAGATGCCTCATTAAATTTCAATTCAAGCTACAAAGACACCTGTGCACACACATCATACATACATCCCAACTCGTTACATATTATTTCAAACCACACACACACACACACGTTATTGTTCACTAAATATACTTTGCATATACATGTACTTATAGATGATATATAGGATAGATTTATGTCCTTGCAATGATTATAGTAGATTCACAAAAACACTCAAACTTGAAACACACCGTCAAACTTTTGAAGCGATTGAAAAGAGTGCAGAGGTGTGGAAGCGTACTATTTTATCTGATCTGCTGATTTGCTGATTTGCTGATTTTCTGCTACTGCGACTGCTCCGTGGTGGGTGATGAGGGCAGGTATAAAGCCGCCGGTTGCTCGCAGCGCACTGAGACTGCAGCTTGCCGGCAGAGCCCAGCTGAACACCGCTGCGGCCGAAATCAGCGCTGCGGCGTCGTCGATCGGCTGCGCTGTTTCCGCGCTCTTAAAACGTTACTTTACTTCAATTAAGGCGGGACGAGAGCCGCTGCTGTTGAAGCACACCGTTCAGTGAACGGTTTACAGCGTAGGCTCCGCACGAGGCAATGATTAGGGGCTTGCCTGGTTGGTACGCACTCATGCTGATTATCATTGACATAAAGCTTATCGTTTGATTAGGCAGCTGATGGGGCGATTATAAAGATAAAGCAAGGTGGAATTTTCACGCTGTGGTGATTGTGTGGATTATTAAATTAAATTGCCAAGATTTCGAATGTTTTCGTCAGTAAACAAGCATCTCTTCAAGATTATTAGAGCAGCTTTGCTTTGTCATGGCTTTCAAAAGCATTAAAACTCAATTCAAGACTCATTAATTAACACCAACCTATGCCAAAACTATGTGAGCTAACTGAAAAAAACACATTTTTGATTATTTTAAAACATGCTAATTAAATCTACAATCAGAAATCAACAACGCAAACAATTTCCAAAAAGTAAAATCCAGTTCGAGCTAGATTTCAATTTGACATCTTCATTTTAGATAATTTGGTGATAATTGATTGAAAAATAATAAAATTCTTAAACCCATCGGACCATGGTCAGGTGTAAGCAATACGCTGTTTCTAAAAATTAATCTACAAATCTGCATTCTATCATAAAAAGATTAGGGAGTTTAAACTAGAACTCCAATAGTAATCATCTAAGAAAATATTTATGAAGAAGTCGAGCAGGATTTATCTTATGTATCGTACTTACAAAACTTAATCAAATACCAAAATATTATATGTTATTATATTATTATTATTATTTCCAGTTGGCTCTCAATTATTTAATATGAAATGCCTTGGCATCTTAACTGAAGCTGCTGGCTTCAACAGTTTTCACTGCTGATATAACAATTTTTCCACAAATCAAACGTAAAAGCTCACTCAAGAACCAAATGATCTACAAAGCTGCCACTAATATATACACGTATACGCTCTACATCATCTCTAGAGACATTCTCTCACTCTAACACACTTAAATGCACATCATCCTCATACAAGGAAAAACACACCAAGCAAAGTTGATCTGAGCAAGATACAAGCCTGCAACTGTCCAGGCAAAACCAAATAACAATTTTAAGACTCATAAACACTATCCATAAACAATATGCACCTTATTCTCAGGTTCTGCTCAGCCAGATTCATTTTCCCAGCCAACTCAGAACTCATTTGTCTTATCTCTAATCTTACTTTAGATAGCACAGCATAATTGTACAATTTTTATACCCTGTACAAAGGGTAAAAGAGTATTCTATTGTGCGAATGTATGTAACACAGAGAAGGAGGAGTGGCAGACCCCACAAAGTGTATATGTTTCTGAAATTATAAGAGCTAGAATAACGAAATTTGCTATCTAAATTCTCCTAAGTCGAAGAAAGGACGAATTTGTGCTTTTTTCTTAGAATTTTCAACTCAAATTTAGTAATAACATCCCGTAAATAGTAATTATGTGTCTGTATGCTAAGTTTCATAATGATAGGGCAATTATGAAGAAAGTTGTAGCCATAAATATAATCTCCGCCCAAGCTCTGCCCGAAATTGGGAAAATCGCTCTAGTTACTGAATTTGACTACGTATGACATGTTTCATTATGAAAGGGCGATTTAACAGAAAGGTTTAGCCATATATGCCATCTTGCCCAAGCATTGCCAGCAGCTGTTGTTATTGTTGCTGCTTTGCATAGGCACATGAGATGCACGCAGACATACACAAACATGCACAGACACGCATGCATAGACACGCCTAAACTCAATTCCTAAGTTAGTGTGTTATACAAAACAAAAACCAAAGGAGGAAAAATCAATCAAAATTCTTTTTACTTTTTTTATTTTTCTTAATTTTGTAATTTAATTTAATGTTATTTTTTAATTTCGAATTATTCTACACATATGTACAGCCTATTTTAAAGTCGGGAAATCCGACTTTAGCTTCTTCTTTTGTTTAAAATAAAAGAGTTATAGCAAATTACTTAATAAGAACTGAAATACCAATTTTCGAAAGCGTTGCGTTTAATATTGTATCATTTATCTTAATTTACCTAATTATTTTTCTTTTGATAACTTAATTTGTTTGCTATGAATAAATGCATGTTTTATAGGTAATTCAAATTATTACCCTCATTACTGCTAACAAAACATTGTCAATTGGTGCAAATAAAATTGAATTTGCCGTCAAATACGTACACCTGTATTCCAGTAAAAAAATTGCTATAGCTCTAAAAAATTAAACAAATAAACGACTACTCTACATACACATGTACGAGTATGTATGTATGTATACACATGTGAGCAAAGCGAATTAAAAATTTGAAAAATTGCGAGTGGCGCGCATTTATGTACAAACTGGCATATTTTTTGCGCAATATCGAAACAAATGTCACACTCACACGTAGTAGTAGTACAAATAAACAAATAGAGCACAGAGCAGCAAATGCAACTCAATTTACATACGAGGGCGAACTTCAACAACAGATGCAGCACGTGACAAAACATTCCAGGGGCGTTGGCAGAAATATGTTGCCTGATTGGCCACTCATAGTAAAAACAAAAACAACAGAATCCCTCCGCACACAAGGCTGCCTGCAAGCAAGGACCAAAAACAAATAAAGAGCAGCAAGAGTGTATTGATAAAATGTTGTCCACAAATACTGTAAATCGCCGACACAAAGGAATATTGTTGCACACGCACGGAAGCTTATATCAAGCAGCAAGCAGGGACGGAGGCGAAGGCGCTGCTCTGTTAATGAAAAGGTTAAACAAGAAGGCATGCAACCATATGGATTGTGCGCCATCGTTTCACACCTTCCACGATCTCGACAAATTATCATGTGGCAGAAGATGGGCACTAAATGTGTTTTTATACTCTGTACATGAAATGTACAAGAGTATATTAGGTTTGCGGGAGCTGAAAAATGTAACAGGCAGAAGGAGGCGTGGCAGACCCCACAAAGTATATATATTCTTGATCAGTATGACGAGACGAGTCGATCTAGCCCTGTCTGTCTGTCTGTCCGTCTGTCCGTCCGTATGAACACCTGGATCTCAGAGACTATAAGAGATGGAGACACCAAATTTTGCACAAAGATGCGTTATGTGTGTATTCTATACGAGTTTGTTTTATTTTTTGGTTTTTCCCTCCCACTTCCCCCCTATGGGGGTTTTCCCGATTTTCCATTCGTATAATCGCCTATATCTCGGAGACTATAAGACCTATGAACACCAAAGTCGAAGGTGCCTTGTGTGAATACGCAGAAAATGTATATTTTGGAATTTCCCTACCTCCCCCCTCTCCCCCGCAAATGCGATTTTCTCTAACTCCCGTAATTCTTGGAATTTCGAACTAAAATTTTGCAAATACCCCCAGTTTGTAATTATGTGTCCGTATGCCAAGTTTCACTATGATAGACCGATTTAACAAGAAGTTATAGCCATAAATATATTTGCTGCTGCAGCGCTGCTCAAGCGCTGCCCGCGGCTGTTGATGTTGCTTTTTGGTTGACTGCGAAAATGCTTACACAGACACGAATAGATGCACATAGGCATACATACACTCACACAGATGCAATTGCTATGTAAATGTGCAATTATATACCCTTTACGTGAGTTCGAATACCGAGAAAGGTAACATCGATCATTGAATTTTTTTTTATTTTCTTAATTTTTTTTTATTTTCTATAATTATTGTAAACATATGTACAGAGTATTTCAAAGTCGGGACACCCGACTTTAGCTTTTTTACTTGTTCTTATTTATACTCGTACTTATTAGTTTGCTGGGGACAGCAATTTGTGCGTGCGGACTAGTTATTGTTTTGGCGAATTTAAAACTTGGCAAATATTTGGTTTTGATTTATACGAGTTTACTTACCAATACCAATGGTCATTGGCCATACTTAGGTAATGATATTCAAGAAGTGGAGTAAGTAATATGTTAAGTATCATCGGGATAAGTCAACTCCAAAGGAAGTTACGCCACAAATAAAGTCTCTACACAAGTTGTGCCAGGAGTTGTTGCTGTCGTTGATTCTTTGATTCAAGTCGTACTCTGTAAAGAAACAAATTTGATTAATATTTATATAAAATTTATTTAATTATAATTATAGTATATATTATTTGTTTTATTATGTGTGTTGAATTTGCTCTGTCAGGTCCTCTATTCTATTAATCTTCGTTTGAATTTCAAATAAAAATTGTTATAGGGAGAACAATTTATTGCCTTTCCCGAACTTAGAACTCACAGAGCTTACTTACTTACACTAACTTAAAGGTCTCCTATAGAGCTAGGCTTTCCAATAGTAATGGAATGTTCTTCTAAGTTCGGGAAAGGCGGTTAATTCTTTCTCCCTATCAAAATTGTAATTTTGAAATTTAAAAGAAGAAGAATAATTTCTTCTGAGCTATTTAGAGGGTCTGAAAGAAATAACACTTACAATAACAATCAAAACTTTCCAGGTGCTAATTTTAGGTTTCTCAGTTGATAGGAGATGTTATTTATTATTATTTTAGTTGCCACTTCTTCTGTATGCCATTTGAATGAAATGCTTTCATGTTTTCTCTCTTTCAATCTTAGTGCTGTTATATTCATACAGATAGATGCAAAGACGGATATGGCTATATCAACTATGTTTGTTATCGTAATAGAAAATATATATACTTTGTAAAGTCTGAATATAACGATATCTTAAAGGAGTGATTTTCGGACTGATAGTTTCGAAACCATTTTATCTTCAATTTAACGTCTTAAAGTGCCTTTTCACTATTCCTAGATGATTTTCTGTTTGCGTTCACTAGTAGTGTCTGCGTTTTGTGAGGTAAAGCAAAGGCATATGCTTCCTCGACTGTAAG